GCACTAGATTATATAAAGGCTGCAGATTCAACTAGGAAAAAACCTCCATCCTCCATCAACAACTCATTATTTCACTCACTATTTTTACCCCCCAAAATTGTCTATATTATTGCCAAAAAATTTGCTCAACTTGAGAGAAACATTATCTTTGTATATAATTAGAGAGTAGTTTGAATATTTATTCTCATAAATATGGATCTAGGGAAAGAGTCTAATTATGGTATTTATAAATGTATAGAATATTTATACATTATTTACATAATTTATTCAATCTTATGGGAAAAAGGAGAATAACCAGGTCTTTAATAGGTTCTTGAATGTATGGAGTGTGTGTATGGGGGAAATTATTCGAATCTTGAGGATAGGAACAGATATCATTCCAGAGGGCCTCCTAGTCTAGGAATAGTTTCAAGTGATACAACTAAGTGTATCTGTGCAAAGATCTTTTTGGTTACAACTGCCAACTGCTCTTTGAACCAGAATTGTGATTCAAAAATGACCTCCAAGTTGTGCATCAGTCCCACACAGAGCAGTGCAATCCTAATGTATCTTGATTCCTTCTCTTTCTCGAGTCACAATATATGCATTTTGATAATATTATTTATGATGGTTTGATTTAGACACCACTACATCTGTGTGGCTCCTGGAATAGAAACAAATAACAGTATACAATCCTATTTTTTTTTAAAAAATCAACAATATGGCAAATCTGGCCAACAGCAAATAACGTATACCCTTTAAGGCAGGGGTCCCCAACCACCGGGCCGCGGACCGGTACCGGTCCGTGGATCATTTGGTACCGGGCCGCAAAGAAAAATAAAATAAAAATGGCGGCTTTCTTCGCTTTCGGTGAATGCTGCTGGGATCAGGAATCAAGGACACAAATGAAAGAAGGGGAGGAAGGAAGCAACCAAAGCCTGTCCTGCTCTCCGGCTCAGTGGCTTCGGTTTCCTCCCGCCTCGTTCCTCTCTCAGTCGCTCTCTCGCTCCTCCACCAGCCCAAGAAGAAACTGCTTCAAAGAAGCCAGCAGGGTGGCTTTTCCTGTCGGCGCAGCTCCTCCAAAGCGCCCGTTCACCCCCCACCCCGCCGCCCGCGGTTCAATCCAGTGCTCCGTTCTGCCTGCCTGCCTGCCTGCCTTCGTTTCTGGTTGTTTCGGAGCAGCTTCGGCTGAGTAAAAGAGGCGAATAGTTATTATTCTCAGCCAAAGCTACTCCAAAACAACCAGAAACGAAGGCAGGCAGGCAGAACGGAGCACTGGATTGAACCGTGGGCGGCGGGGTGGGGGTGAACGGGCGCTTTGGAGGAGCTGCGCCGACAGGAAAAGCCACCCTGCTGGCTTCTTTGAAGCAGTTTCTTCCTGGGCTGGTGGAGGAGCGAGAGAGGGATTGAGAGAGGAACGAGGCAGACACCTGAGGGATGAGGCTGAGGGAGGCAGGGCTGAGAGGCGGGGCTTCTCAGCCATCCTGCAGGGACTTCTCCTGAGCCTCCCTGAACTTGGTGGTTTGCTGGCAGACGTTTTATTACCCGACTAGGTAACAACATCAGATGTTATCTAGTCAGGTAATGAAACATCTGCAAGCAAACCACCAAACTCGGACTCCTCCCCCTCCCCCCCTCCTTGAAAAAGTATCTCTTTCTCCCCCACCCCCCGCCGGTCCTTGAAAAAGTGTTTCTACGTGAAACTGGTCCCT